CACTGGACTAAACTATTAAATTGGGGGATGGGAAGAGGCATTATTAATAGGCTATTGAAAATTATTTGTGAATTTATGAAATATGATTGTGTTAAGTTATCTGATGTCAGACCATCTCCCCACATCACACTGTGTACAAACGGTCCACATAGGAATGGGAAGTTGGCATGAGAGTTATGTAGGTGTGATGGGGAAGGATGTGTATCAAGTGTCCTTGCTAGCAGCTGCTGTGCTTCTTCCATGCACTACTTTCTCAGTATATACTTGGGATTCCATAGTGCTGCAAAGGGTACAGGAAGAGAAGCTGGGAGCTGTGATCCTGATTCTTCCTCTGCACGAGATCAAAAAATGTACATGTCACTCAAGCACTTCTGAAGACTAGGAAGAAATAGAGGGCAAGATGGGAGTCAAGAACAAAATAGTCCCAAAGGTCTCATGCAACTTGACTTTTTAAACAGCTAGGTAACCCTTCTCAAACTTATCTGTTTCTAGAGCTTTCTCTTCTCTGTGTGGCTGAACTATAAGAGGAGCCAGGTTTTTTGGGGAAAAAAAAGAATTAAACAAATGTACTGGATCAGTACATAGTGATATTAGTAAAAATTGAATTTTCTTTGCACATGGTTCAGGCACTGCAGAATAGCAAATTTTGCATCTTTAAAGTGCTCTCTATACATTTAAAATACGATTGATGTCCATGTTTGCATGGTATAAGATTGGAAAGATATTTTAAAACATGCCATAAACACATTGTAATACAAAAAATGGCTAAGATGGTAAAACTAAGTGAGAGAGACCAGAAAGGATTTGGTCTGCCTAATATTTTAATGAGTAATTGAGTAAAAATATCCTGCAAATGTGAAGTGAAGACCTAGAAAATATTATTTCTGGTATCCACCATGTTAAGTTCTGCTTATTTGCACTAAAGCTAAGATTAGATGAACTGGTTAGAGCTATGTAGTCATGCTACAGCATTGGTGAAGTCATACTAAATGTGGTGTCAGGAAACCTCTCTCTTTTTGTGGAAGGAGTACAGTATTTTGTATGAATTCCAGTATCATTATGTATCATAAATGTGCTTTATTGTGCATTATGTTTTAACACTTTGCTGGCTTTCCATTACTCTTCCGGTGGTGCTGCTGTTTATTAATACAACACCAAAATCAATAGAACATCATTGTTATTGGTGTATTTGGTTTCAGCTGTATTCACTAGCTGTTAGACATTTCTAAGTATGAGAGAAGATAGTTCCCCCGCCGTACAAAATAAACAGACAATGGGCCCCACACTAAGTAATACGGCCAACTACTACCATGACTATGTTTGCTAATACATTTTAATACTAAAATGAACTATTTTTGTAATATAAAATTTCTAGGTACTCACAATTTAAGTACAATCAACCTCAGAAACTCCTGCACATCTTAGTACGCTGAATAATGTAACTTACACTGACTGCCACCTCTTTCTCTTATGAACCAATCTTAAAGAATCTCTATGGTTCCCAGTACATTTTTTATCTTAAATTAGGTCCATTTGTACTAGGCAATCTATTTTTGCTTGTCTCTAGGATGGTTGCTTAACAAGTCTCCTGCTATCCTAAAACTTCACAGGAAAGTATATAAGAGCATGTATTTAACTGGAATCAGTAACTAAGACTAATTGAAGAACCAATATACAAAAATGAATTGGGCATCTGATTTAGCTAGCTCTTCAGTGCCACGCCATCTGTTTTGACCCTATCTCTATAGTGGCCACTTATTTCCAGTGGTCAAAAATAAAGCTGTTGGTGGCAGAGCTCTCATTTGCCCCAAGACATGTTTAACTACCTTATGGACACACTTATGGCTCCTGGGTCACATGCCTTGCGTTATGTCCTTTCATTCCCATTTTAAAAAGATTTGACCTCCAGGGGATACTTGGACATTAGGTTATTAAACAGAATGGATTTTGTGCACATGTAGTTTTTGGACCACATTAAATATGTTTTAATTTGACAACAAAGAATTAATGTGATAACTTTTTAATTGAAAAGTATAATTGTATTTACACTGATTGTGAAAGAAGAAACTTCATGTTTCCAAGTGATGCTCTTCTAGGTAATTATACTATAATCTGCCCACCTAACTCCCATACCACGCAGGTCCACTGGGTTACAACATTGTTCTGAAACTGCTGCCTGATGTTGCTTGTTTGAACTTCTGCGTGAGAATCCTTCCATGCTAGCAGAATGGCGTGCTCTCTTTTTCTACAAACCTGCAGAATTCTTTGAAGAAAATCCTGTGACTTCATAGTAGAAGCTAACGATGCTAGTGCCATGTGGATTTTTCACTCAAAAAAACTGAGAAATCCTCAGGAGGGCTGCTGGTGGGGTGCAGATACTCCCTTGTCACAACTATGATACAAGTTGAAGATTTCTTCTCCCATCAGTCACTCATACAAACCAGCCAAGAATTGCAATTGAATCAGTACCAAGGCAATCTAAATTTTTAAATTGTATTTAAGACACCTGCCATGCTTCTGAATTCACAAACTCAGCATAATTAACATTTATTTTCTGAAATGTGAGAGTGAAAAGGAAAATCCTCATCTGATCACTAGCATGGACTCTGTAGGATAGCGGAGATTGAATTTAATGTGTGCTTTTGGGGGTTCACTTCTGTCATGTTCTTTGTGCATTTGTGTGTATGTTTATCTATGTACTCACCTATCAAATCTCTACACCATTGCAGAAGAGATACCAGTCAAGATTTTTACAAGTGCTTAACAATTTTCAGGCCCTGAGAGACTTTAAAAGGTCTTGATTTTCAGAAAGTGCTGAATGTCTATTTGAAAACTAGTGCCCTGTAAGGAGTTTCAAGTTGGGCCCCGAAAATCACTATTCCCTCTTGAAAATGTTGGCCAGTTTATTTTAATCAGTTGCTTAAATAATAAATATACAGCTTGCTATCTATGTTATAAACATTAAAATATTTCTGTGTGAGAAATTTTGGATAGTCCCCTCTGCTCCAAAACTTACTTGGAATATTTGTTCTTATTTTTTCAGAAACTCTCCTATACAAAAGAAGCAATGGACGGGTGAGTATTTATAGCCCTGCCCGCGGTAAGAGCGATGAAGCTGAATCGAGATGTTTTGTAAATCTTTCTCTTGTTCTGGTTTCCCTCAGTGCCTGTAGCGACTGGTCCTGTGGGTAAGTCATTTTTACTTTTTAAAGCTTGTGGCAAGTCCCTACTTAATTTAGTTTACATGTTGCAGATTTTGCTGTTAGTCTGAAGTGATAAAGATTGAAATTGACCCTAGTGCTGAAATTCGAGTCCCGCCCACTCCCTTGGCAGCTCAAGTCCTCCCTCCTCACCTATCCTGGGAGCGAACAAACAGCCAACACAGGATAAGGGATCCTCTGAAGGTAGGGAGGGGTGGGTTCTGGAGTGGCTTAGGGAATAGGGCATTCACCTTGGGAGCGCAGGGTGGCAGGTGGGGTCTTGCCCCTCTCCGCCCACCGAGGGAGTGACCAGACCACCAACACAGGATAAAGGACATCCTGACGGGAGGAAGGTGGGGTGGGCTCAGAGAGACTTCAGTGGGATGGAGAGCGCTTGTGCAAGATACAGGGCAGAGTGTCCTAGAATGTTTGGCCTGCTCAGAGCGTCTCAGCACAATGCTTAGTTGTGGCCAGCCATGCAAAAATACAGTCTTTACCCGAGAGGTGAAGAGAATATTGGGGGGGATGTGCACTAGGGATGTTAATGTGCAATTGTTCACGCCATTAACCGATAGGATTAACCAATAAGCTTGGACTTAACAGTTACATGTACCCCACCCCCACTAGGGATGTTAATGTGCAATTGTTCATGCCATTAACCGATAAGTCCAAGCTTATCGGTTAATCCTAACAGTTACATGTACCCCACCCCTTTGCTGCCTCTTATCAGTGGCAGCAAGGGAGAGGAGGAAAGGCATTAACTGGTGCCCATGGGGAGCCAGCTTGTAAGTCCCCTCTCTTTCCCCTCGCCCTCCCACAGAGGCAGCAGTACAGGGGAAGAAAGTTGGGAGCCAGTGCTCAGGGGGAGCCAGCTTTTTAGCCCCCAAGCACTGGCTCCTGTGAAGTTGCCTGCCCCCTGCATTGCTGCCTCTCCTAGAGAGGCAACAGCATGAGGCATAGGGGGACAGGTGAGAGCCGGTACGTGCGGGAAGCCGGCTTTCAAGCCTGCTTGCTGTGCATACGGCTCCAGCAGAACCACCTGCCTTCCACGCTGCTGCCTCTCTATTAGAAAAATAAGTGGTAGTATTTTCCCTATATATTTTGACAGTTAGGGCTTTGTTCTCGGTTGAGGGCAGGGAAGGCTAGCAGACAGGCTGACATCCTTTGTAACCTGTATGTTTCCTCTATCCGCGTGTATGTCATCTTTGGTACAGGACCAGGCTTTGGGTAATGTAGGTGGAAGAACTATCAAGTAGCAAGTATCCTGTGTTTTAATAAACAGTCCAGTGTGCGTGGCTCAATTTTCTTCAGGTTCTCATAGTTTTTAAAGACCAGAAGGGACCATCAAGGTCACCTAGTCTGATCTCGTTCATGTTTCAGGCCACAGAACTTCACCCACCCTATAACTAGGCATGTGAATGCTTGACCTGTAAGCCTCACCCTTAATGGGTGAGTTTTACCAGTTCCACTTAATCGGTGGGGGCTGGAAAAGTTCCTTGCCCACTGCAGGGATGCTCCAATGTTATGCTTAAATGAAGTAGACATGATCTTTTATGGGAGAAAAGGCAGTACACCGCATTTATTGAGAATACAACAGTTGCATATGCTTTTCAATCACACACACACACAAACACCATGCATACACAGTCCTGCCAGATGATGTCATAGTTACCAGTCCAGAGTCTGTATCAATCTAGTGGCCAGCCAGATTGATCACAAAGGAGGAGCCGGGCTCTGTCGGTCGATTGATCTGATGTTCCTGGAGTTGGTGGCAAGATGAACCCAAAGTTCCATAGCAAGGCACCCTGCTTTTTATAATCCTTTTCTCCGTTGAAGTCTATGGATTTTACTGTGTCAGTCTGTGACCAGTTACTGTTATCTTGTTGATGTTAATCATTCCCAAAACATCTCCAAGAGGCTCTGTGACGTAGTGGGGGTACTTGCTGGGATGTGGTGACCTCTGCTGTCTGGAGCAAGACCCAGCAGGGAAAACCTCACTAGGCCAAGGTAATGCCAAACTTGTTGAACCAGTGGCCAGACACCCCCCATGGAGAGGAACAAAGGAAGGTGAATGCTGCCCTGGCTGGGGGACAGGGCTGGAAGGGGGTTGTTCGGTTGGTGGCTGTCTGTGAGGATGGATGAGACAGCCTAGGGAGAGGAGCTGGAGTTTAGGGGCCCAGGCTCCCCCCTCTCAAGGGGGCCTGAGGCATCCTAGCCCAGTTCCTGTAACCAGATTACATCTGTGCTGCGCTGTGCTGGAGGAGCAATAAACCACCCTCAATTCCACTGGCTGGTACAGTCTGTTTGTGCCATTTCGGGGTGCAGGAGACGGGGAACCCCCAACGTGCCGTCACAGGCTCATCCTGTATTGGATTGTTAATCAGTTGTTTTTAGGGATGCCTTCACCTTTACAGCCATCAGTCTGCCAATCTGATCAATTCTTGACCGTGGGTACGCACTGATGGTTCTTCTGACGCCGATATGTCTCTTTGCAGTCTGTCTTTTACAGTTTTTCACCCCGCATTCTTCCCCTTCTCTCTTGACCATCTGGCTCTAATGATGACCTTCACACCATATCTCATTCATAAAGTTTTTCACAGAGTTACAAACAGCAAAGTTTTATATTAAACAAAAGCAAACAGCATTGTAAATTGCCTTACTAAATTTTGTAATTAAAACAATTCACACTGAAGGCTCGGGCCTTCAACATTCCTCTAATCTCATTGACATAGACACAATATGAGATCATGTCTCTTTACTTACTAAACTTTAAAATATATATCTTACTAAAGGGCTTAATTTAAATGCAATAATGTGTTACCTTACATGGCTACATTATTAAACCTAAAAATACAAATATAAAAAGGATCAAATTTTCAATCCTAACAACAATCTGGCTGGACCCAAGCCCCCTTGAATCAGTTAACCAATTAAACAGCATTTTATATCCCTACATGTAACAGACCCCTAACTGAGTTACCGTTGTCCTCAATTAATGATTTAAAGACTTCAAGTTGTAGAGAATCCACTGTTTTTATATTAAGTTTAACCCTGAAGTCACTAATGCCCCCATGCTGCAGAGGAAGGTGAATCTCCCCACTCCCCATGTGGTCTATGCTAATCTGACCTAGGGGGAACATTCCTTTCGGACCCCAGATCTATCTGTCTTGATACTTTAATGGTGTTTCTTACTGTTGTAGCACATCGCCTTGCAGTATTTATACTCAGACCACCTGTCTGAGCTTTGGAAATACTATTAATTTTATTTTGTAGATGGAAAGATGAGACACTAAGCAGGTTGCCTGTGGTCACAGGTGTAATCTGAAGCAGAGTAGGGAATTGAACCTGGGTCTTTTGAATCCTGTGTCAGTGCTCTAATCACTGGGCCATTGTTCTTTGTTTCGGTCATATATTGTCACTTAACACAAGTTGAGAGACCTGATACTACATCGATTTTGCAGTCTGGTCTTTTTTACTCATGATGAAGAATGCAAGGAGGTTTTCTACTGGTTTCCATTCTTCAGAGTGCAATTTCCAAAGCATTGTTTTAGGGACAAGAAATTAAAACAGTGCTTTATTTTTGTGAATTTTGACAAGTCTTCCCTCTGCTGGGAAGCTGCCGTTTACAGGTTTAAACGAATATAAGCGGTGAATTCTCTACAACTTAAAGTTTTTAAATCATGAATTGAATACAACAGCTATTGTGTTTTTTGGCATTACATTCATATTTGTTTCAGGGGAAAAACTAGAGCTAAAATCAGGACCTTGTTAATACAACAGTGATGTTTTCTATCAGTTTAACTACAAATGTGTTCAATAATAAAACACACACAGGTGCACTTTCATAGAAAATTTTAAACAAAGTTGTAAAATTGAAGTAGACTGCATTTCTTAAGACAGCTTGTATAATCTCATGTAAACACAAAAAAAGCGAGTGTTTATGGGTGGAAAAAAAAGCTAGTTTCAGCAAATTAAGTGCTTGGGTAGTGGAGCCAACAGAAAAGATGATTTATGGTTGCATAACTGATTTCCAGGAATAGCTTGCAGTCTGGTATTTCTCACAATTATGTTCCAGAAAACTACGGCTTGCTGTCATGTAAGATTAATAGTCAGTGGCAGTAGCAATGGTTAAGACTGTAGAATAAATAGAACTTGAGTATTTTCCCACCTTATCATATATAATCCTTCTCTGAGAAGGTAAAAATACTCATGTCCTTTCTAAACGAACTCACCAACTTTGCTGTTTCCCTGTGGCTGGCTGCATGACTCCTACATTTATTAATGGGGAGTCCCATGGTAAAACCCCATACACTGTTACAAAAATATACAACCCTTCCAAACTGAAACTCCGAAGGGAGAACTTTTGTTCTTCTTTTCAGACACGTTTGTCTTCTTTTTTATGCTCAAGTATTTTTATTTTTAGTAGTTTGTTCAGCTTGTTTGCTGTTTAAATCAGCAAATCTTACTAGAATGATCAAAAACTTCCTTACACTTTTTGAACCTCATAATTACAAATCTTACTAGAATGATCAAAAACTTGCTTACACTTTTTGAACCTCACAATTACATGTAGTGTGTGTGTGTGTGTATGTAAAAAATATCTGTTATAATCGTGTGTGTAAAATATTTCTTATAATCGTGTGTGTGTGTGTGTGTGTGTGTGTAAAAAAATCTGTTATAATCTTTATAATCGTGTGTGTAAAATATTTCTTATAATCGTGTGTGTGTGTGTGTGTGTGTGTGTAAAAAATATCTGTTATAATCTTTAGTGTGTGTTAAATTAAATGTAGTCTCTCCAGCAGAATTCCTGTCTTTGGCTGAATTGCCTAACTTACCTGTTGATTAAGTAAATCAGACCCTCACCATACTAGCTCCCCAGCTGCCAGGAATTGTCTACAGTTTGATCTTCTGTGACTCTTATGCTTATGGATTTATGAAATAGAGCAAACCGGAGAGGTGCTCTTATGCTTATGGATTTATGAAATAGCACCTCTCCGGTTTGCTCTATGTGGCTTGTTCTTGTTCCCATTGACTTTTAGTGGGGGTAGCATATGCTCAGCACCTCTTGGGTTTTGGCCTAACTTTGGGCTCTAATGCCTATACCTGAAATCCCACTGACATCAATGAAGTGCTGCACCTTTCAAGCTTGGACCTTACATGCTAAGGCTACATCTGGACTTAGTGTGTCAGATATCAATCTTCTAGCATTCGATTTAGCAGGTCTAGTTAAAATGTCTTTTCTGCTATCTCTAGCACACTATCTCAAGTGTTGGGACTCACTGCTCCTAGGTGCAGAGTAAATATACCCAACAAGACTTTGAGTAAGGCAAAGAGGATTAGCCCACAGTATAAAGCGAGGTTTATAGTGGAAAGCCATCTAAGATGTGATTGGGAAGATGCAACTGATTCATTATCAAATTGCTGCTATTAATTATAATAGGTAAAATCTGCTTTTTATGAAGTTGTTAGTAAAAGTAATATATGGTGCATTTATTTTGCAAATATGCCTTTTGATTTCATAGTAGACACCCAGGTAGCATTGGGTGTTAGAACCTTAACTGGATTAAAAAACTCTCACCTTATCTCATTCTTAATTTCATATTTAATTCAGTTTCTCTTTTTATTTTTCAGCTCTGGAATTCCAACACCTGCTCCAGCTGGTGATACTGCCACATTCAGAGGTCTTGTTTTCATCTGCTTATATTTGTCTTTATCCATCTCAGTGTTACTATAAACTGCTGTTTTAAATGTATTGCAACATTCACCTGTGGGAAACTTGATGGCTTGGGATTAGTCATTAGACAGGGATCATTCAGTCTTTAGCTCACTGCTGATCCTGATTTTGTCCTGTAGATGCTGCTGTCATACAGAAAGTAATGCTGTCAGTGTCTAAGGCACAGTTGCATGCAGCTTGAAAGATCCTAATTTTAAAATGATCTTGGGGCACTTTTTCATATCTTGGATTTATACTCTCAAAAGTATTACACCCTTGTTTGGCAGATGAAATTTTTGTGTACTCCTAAATAATAGATGTCATTTATTTTCTCTCTACCTGATCAATGCCTTATGTACTTTGTTCTCCTCGGGATGCAGGGATCGGGAATAATTTGATGTTGGTTGAACGGTCTACCAGGAAGCATGCTCTGGTGTTTGTATTATTTTAAAAAAATGTGTTTCTTTCTTAGATGCAGCTGCGAATGTTCCACCTCCTCATGAGATCTCCATTGAGAGTCCCTCAGATAATACCTTCAACATGAATGAAGACTCAGATGCTAGTGTAAGTAGTGCTTCATTGGATCTGGTGTTGTTTTCGCCTTCTTAACTGCTGTCTTCTACCTTGATTTGCATTGCTTTTTAATCTAGCCTGTCTCTTGTTTTCTCCTCTTTTTTTTTCTGATCCTGCCATAGGCTTTTTAATAGTTTCGAACAAAAATACACTAATTCCTGAAGGTCAGCAGGATTTAAGGAATTTACTGGAGGGAGTTGATAAAGCACTACCTTGATGAGAGGAGCAGCTTAAGTGATGGGAAGAGTTTTATGCTAAGTGTTTAATTAGTTCACTACAGAGTTAGTTCTCTCAGTCACAGAGGGTTCATAGCAAAGCTTCCTTAAACATGGGCTCAGCCCACAAGTCAGTGTGTGTTTTGATAGTACTGCAGGATTAGACATTGGGTGAGATTTTCCAAAAGTATCTGTATGACTTAGGAGCACAGTTCCTATTGGAAGGCAATATGACTTGTGCTCCAAAGTCACTCTGATAATTAGGAAAATCCTACCCCCTCTCTATATAGAGGGATTTCATTTAAAGTATAAGCATCCATCATCTTGGTATCTAGCTGAGGGAAAACTCTCCAAACTTGCATTCCTGAAGTTATGTTTCCCCTGCACCCAGATTTCCCCTGCACCCAGCAATTCCTGAAGTTATGTTTCCCCTGCACCCAGCAAGTTTGTAAGTCGGGAAGAGGCTGTAATTTTTTTGTCAAAATAACACAGTAACAATGTAAACACACAATTTTCAATTATTTTGATAATTTATTTCAAAATTGTTGTGAGCAAATAGTTGAAAATGGTGTGATTATATTGTTTTCTTGTCAAATAAAACATGTGGACTTCTAAATTTTTTTAACTTTTTTTGGTGATTTCAAAATTGTTGTGAGCAAATAGTTGAAAATGGTGTGATTATATTGTTTTCTTGTCAAAACATGTGGAATTCTAAATGTTTTTAACTTTTTTGGTACAGAATTTCCTCTGGAGTAACTATATAACTGTAGTGATAGAGATGCAGCCGTGTTAGTCTGGTGTAGCTGACACAAAAGACAGAACTATGTAGCACTTTAAAGACTAACAAGATGGTTTATTAGGTGATGAGCTTTCGTGGGTCAGACCCACTTCCTCAGATCAATATGTGGAAACAAATCGGCACAACCATATATACCAAAGTGATACAATCAAAAAAAAGGAACGCATGTGAAATTGACAGATCAAATTTTAGAACAGAGTGGGGGTGAGGGGGAAAGGTAAGTTTCTGTGAGGTAATGACATTGGGGTGATAATTAGGGAAGCTATCTTTGTAATGGGTGAGATAATTAGAGTCTTTGTTTAAACCCATACATAAAGTGTCAAATTTAAGCATGAATGACAATTCTGAAGCTTCTTGTTGAAGTCTGGAGTTAAAGTCTCTTTGAAACAATATGCATGTTTTAAGGTCATTAAGTGAATGATCAGTCTGGCTGAAATGGCAGGCAATAGCTTTCTCTCTGTGAGAGAGTCTTATGTCTGTTTTGTGTGCATTGATTCTTTGGCGAATCAGAAGAATGTAAAATCTACCTTTGAGAGTAGACTCAAAGAGCCTGACTTGGTTAGCCTAACCAAACAAAGGCTGAGTGGAGGTAGGATTGCTCTCTATAAATACATCAAAGGGATAAATACCAGAGAGGGAGAGGAGTTATTTAAATTGAACACCATTGTGGACACAGGAACAAATGGATATAAATTGGTTACTAGCAAGTTTAGGCTTGAAATTAGAGGAAAGTTTCTAACCAGCAAAGGAGTGAAGAAGTTCTGGAACCACCTTCTAAGATGAGCAGTGGGGGCAAAAAATTGACCTGGCTTCAAGACTGAACTTGATACACTCATAGAGTGACTGGTCTGATGAGACTGCCTACAATGGCATGTAATAGGGATGTCAACGTGTATTCCACTAGATAATTAACCCATAAGCTTTGGCTTATTGGTTAATCTTCTTGACTACGTGCACTCCCCATGCTTTGCTGCCTCTGTATTAGATAAAGAGGCAGCAGCGTTGCAGGGGAGGAGGCCGGAACTGATAGGCGGGGGGAGCTGGATTTCAAGCAGGCTCCCTGCTCATGCCGGCTCTGCAGACCCGCCTGCTCCCTCATTCCTTGCTGCTTCCTACAGAGGCAATGAGGAGGAGCAGGTAGGATCCAGTGCTGGTGGGAGCTAGCTTAAAAGCCAGTTCCCCCCAGCACCAGCTCTGTGATGGTACCTGCTCCCACTTCAATAGAGGCAGCAGTGTGGGAGGGGTGGGGGAGACTGTTCCTTCCTCCTCTCTCCACAGCAGCCTCTGTCCATGGGGAGCTCGGACCCCCCATGGACACAGGCTGTTGCCAGCACCCTATGCTGCTGTCTCTGTGTGGGGAGCTGGTTTTAAAACTGGCTCCCCTTGTGGACTGGTTCCCGCCTGCCACTCAGCACTGCTGCTTCCTGATAGACAAAGGCAGCACTACGCGGTAACAGGGGGCTCCCTGGGAGTGGGACTGGGAGTTTAATGACTGCTGACCCCAGCCTTAGGGACTAGAGAATAAGAACATAAGAACGGCCATACTGGGTCAGACCAAAGGTCTACAGTGGCCAGCACCAGGTGCCCCAGAGGGGGTGGACCGAAGACAATGATCAAGCGATTTGTCTCCTGCCATCCCTCTCCAGCCTCTGACAAACAGAGGCCAGGGACACCATTTCTATCCCCTGGCTAATAGCCTTTTATGGACCTAACCTCCATGAAATTATCTAGCTTCTCTTTAAACTCTATTATAGTCCTAGCCTTCACAACCTCCTCTGGCAAGGAGTTCCACAGGTTGACTACGCGCTGTGTGAAGAAGAACTTTTCTTTTATTAGTTTTAAACCTGCTACCCATTAATTTCATTTGGTGTCCTCTAGTCCTTCTATTATGGGAACTAATAAATAACTTAGTTGTGCAACCACTAAGATTTCATGCTGTTACATGACTATTCAATTACACTATATCTAACATCCCTACCATGTTGTTGATCTTTCACTGCCAGCAGTGAAAATTCCTCCCTGACCCCAACTATAATGATCAGACAGACATTAGAACGTAGACAAGACACCTGGAAAAGAATTCTCTGTAGAAACTCAGAGTCTTCCCCTTTCTACAGAGAATTCTTTTCCAGGTGTCTTGTCTACGTTCTAATGTCTGTCTGATCATTATAGTTGGGGTCAGGGAGGAATTTTCCCCTGGGTCAAATTGGCAGAGACCCTGGGGAATTTGCACCTTCCTCCGCAGCACGGGGCACAGGTCACTTGCTGGTTTAAACCAGAATGAGCGGTGGATTCTCTGCAACTTGTCATCTTTCCATCATGATTTGAGGATTTTAGTAACTCAGCCAGAGGTTAGGAGTCCATTACAGGTGTGGGTGGGTGAGGGTTCTGTGGCTTGCAACGTGCAGGAGAGCAAACTAGATGATCGTGATGGCCCCTTCTGGTTTTAAAGTCTATGTTGACCTTGGCCAGGGAACTTCAAATGGAGGGCACGCTGATTGTGTGGCATGTTCCCCCGGGGGCTCTGTGGGACGTCTAATGTAAGAACACCAAAAATGTGTTTGCTGGGGCTGGTAGGTAGGATCACAGTGAGGCAGAGCTAAGCAGCAATTTCTCTTCCTGATACGCAGCCCTGCTGCTCTTAGATATTTTAGGTGGAAGCTTGGTTGGCTGTTGCTTACTGCCTGAATCAGCAGTAATGCTCACAAGTTCTCCTCCAGCACAGCCTTGGGGGGTATCAGTCGTTGGCTCCAGGGTTGCTTCAGAAATCAGACTGCCAGGGATCCAGCTGGGTAGTTCTACAGAGGCCACTTCAGGTCTCATGTATGTCTCACGAGATCCTTTGGTTACACAAGCTGAACCCCATCCTATTTCTCTGAGGGAAAAGGTGGGGGGATACTTGCCTCCAAAATGGCACAATAAACAAATACCTCCCAATAGGAAACTTGTGCGTTTCTTGCTTTGTATGTGGATTGAACCCATTAGTTATAAAATAGCCCAAGCATTGTTCCTCCATGTAAAAGATAACCAAAGGGCAACGCATATAGGTCACTAAATGTCACTCTCTTTTCTTTTCCCATAGATTAACAATGAGATAAAGAAAGAGGATGAGAAGCTGGTGAAACCTGTGCCTGACCAAATGGTTGAGTTCAGCATCCTTGTTTTGGGAGAGAAGTACACGGAGGAATTGAATGACCCATCCACCATGCAGCATCAGCTCCTTGCAGAGCAGTTTATTTCCCAGGTATTTTACCTTCTCTGTCCCTTTCTGCCATAGCTCCCGATAATAATAATAATACGAGGATATGAAAACTGTTAACCACAGATTTCCTCATGTGGTTCTCCTCAGCTAGCTAGGGATTTCACTGCCTGAGGCATGCTGGAAAATGCCCATCACCTCGCTGTCTTTATCTAGCTGAGCTTCTCCACCTCTGGAGTCCTGCAAATCTGGGGATACTTGCATCCGTGGATGTGGATATCTGTGGGTCATTTTTGTAAATACGGATGCGGATGCAGATTCAAATTTGATATTTAGAACTCTGCAAATTTGTGGATATCTGCTTTATATCAGATGTGGATATTCACAGGTCATTTTTGCAGATGCGGAATCAAATTTTGTATACATACAGGGTAGGGATTTAATAGTGTAGTCGATAAACCGATTTACTGATAAGTAAAAGCTTATTGATTAACGTTATAGACTACATACATTTCCCCTTCCCTCCTCCCCCCCCAGTCCTGGCTCACGCTGGGTCCAGAACTTACCTCCACTGGGGCTCTGTATTTAAAGTGTATTAGGAGCCAGGCAGCCCAGCTCAGTTCCAGCTTGCACTCGGCTCAGCCCTCACCCCCCGGGAGGGTCTGCTGCTACCTCATACTGCTGCCTCTGTATCAGCCGGTCCACGTGGGGAGCTGGTTTTTAAACTGGCTCCTCTTGCGAACCAGCGTCCCTGCTGCCTCTGATCCAGAGGCAGCAGCACAGAGTGGCAGGCAGTTCCTTAGGAGTGGAGCCAGAGCACACTGGATGCCAGCCCCACACCCAGGGACTACAGAATAGTTAAGTAAAGTGATAAGAATTCATGAGGTTAATCGACTATCCAGTTAACATCCCTAGCACAGGATTCTATCCATGTCCTTGTTCATTTGGTTTTTCTGCAGGTAGACATGGGAGAGTACATTTGGGAAGGTTGGGCTCCAAAACTAGGTGCAAAGGGACTCAGTCGAACCCTTAGTTGGGAAGTTCTCGGTTTCCTTTTCTGTTTATACAAATGTATTTTGCTTTATTTATTACTAGAAGATTTACCGGGTGTTGCTTGGGTCCTTAATTAATTTTTGGTTTTTGGAAAATAAACTGAAAATGTACGTGCTTCATTTAAATCATTGCTCTGAGGTGGAAGAAGATCAGTGTGAAGGCTGCCCTGGGGAGAGAGGACTACACCAGCCCCCTCTCACCACAGCAGCTTGGGGTCATGTCAGGGGAGGGATGCATGTTCCCCAGCTGGGACAGGCTGCTGCCTCTGTATCATTTGCACCCTGTGGCCCCTCCCTGCCAGCCAGAGTGAGGAATATAGTGAACTGTGCATTTTCCCTTCACTTTCTGATGAAGAGGAATGTCCAGCAATGTTCCCGTACCAGTGATGGGGGAAGGGGAGCTTCAGCCCCGTGCCACCTTCCCTAAAGGGCGCCTGAGGGATGGGAGGCTTGGGCCAGTCCCAGATGGGGGTAAAGGTGTGTGCCCCCAGCCAGTCCCTTTCACCTGGCTAGTGATCCTGTCTCTTTTCTGTGTGGTTTTATGAGAAGCAATCCCATTCCAGGCACATCCAAACCTGACCTTGCTTTAAGTTAGGATAAGAGGAAGCAGTATACTGAATTTGATGGTCCTAGCTCTTATTGTTTAGGAGGAGTTCTTGAAACAGAGGCTCTCAAATATACAGTAGATTCTTATTGTTTAGGAGGAGTTCTTGAAACAGAGGCGCTCAAATATACAGTAGATAAAAACATCATTGCTGGGAGGAAAGGACTTGGCTGATAGCATCTGTATTTTGTTCTGTTGCCTTATTCTGCCAGTTTTACACACCTGCTTATCCCAGGATTAAATTTTGCCCTATTCTTCCTGAATATTTCCATGAGTCACTCATAGGGCTGTTGATGCTGGGCTTTAAGAAGTGTCAAGTTTCCCATTTCTCAGAATGGAATTCCATTTGATGTAAATAAAACTTCAGAGCTTCAAAGGCTGTTCAAAATGTTAGTGTTTCCTTATTCGTGACTGGCCAGATTTGTGTTCTTGTGCAACCTAGGCCATTTTAAGTCCCAGTGAGGACAACGCTGAGTCCCCAACTGCCAAAACAAAAAGAGTTCCCAGCTGAATTGTTTCAATTTTAATGAGCGGAATAAACCTGCAGATGACTAATAGCAACTAGCTTCAGTAGAGTGAATCCTCCTGAAGAGACGGAAGACAAGTTTATGAAGATCACAAAACCAAGCGAGTACCATCTGTAGGCAGCAACATTTTCTGAATGAGTGGCCGCCCCTTACATGCAATATGCCATCCATAACGTAGGCTGGCCACCCAGCCCATTCTCACTGCTCTTTCAGGCTTTAGCTCAGCAGAGCATTTAACAACCTGCTTAAATTCATCCCTATTCATGGACATACTCAAGCACATGCCTAACTGTCATTGAAGTAAATGGAAATTAAGCACAAAAGTGTTCTGCTGAATAAGGAAAGGCTGCTGACTCAGGGCCTGGACTCCTCCTGAAAATGAACCACTTCTACAGGTCCCAGAACTAGTGAGTCCATAATATTTGCTGTATTTTTATCCATTTTTTAAAAAAAGGAAAAAATAGTTATTGGGCCACTTATACATGTGTGTGCACCGCAACTGAGCATTTGTGTGACCATATTGTTGTAACTCTGGACCTTTCCCTTCCCCCCATACTCAATGACACGTCCACATTTGGACCATAAGCTCTTTGGAGCACAGACCATGTCTTCCTTTTGTATTAGGTAAGACCTCCAGCATGACTTTGGGTGCTGTAAAATAACAAACAATAATTACATTATTTTCTCTAGCTTTATTCCCATCTCAGTCTTATTAGTTGGAGCTCTTCTTGGCAAAGTCTGCTGAATCCATTATATGGGGGGCTAACTGTATGCCAGATTATGAATTAGGTGGGAAATAGATGTACTCTATCCTTAAGCCAAAGGGTGTGTCCACAACTCCCTCATATGGCCAGTTTACGTCAGACAACTTAATTTTCCTAGCTGTGTGGCCAAATACAGTAGTAGTGCCATAGTGTGTGTGGAAGAAATGTCAGATGGGAGGGGGCCACCTGGCATCTGGATATTCCATTTCTTTGATCCCCTGCCTAGTTCTTTCCGTGCTTGGACAAAGAAGCCCTTGAAAATCAGCAGCATTTGGGTCACACCAGACACCATATAAAAACAGGCTGGGGGGTGGGGGTGGAATCTGAGGAGCAGAAAAATCTTGGGATGACAGATCACAGGGATTTTTCTCTTCCAGCCTGCAAACAATTACCGATGATGTTTCCTATTTGTGGCCTGCTGTTGCAGCACAAGCCCCTATTTAATTAGGCCTGGATACATCAGCACTTTACCACCCGCAGATTTTCTCTTCTATCTGCACCCTCCTGCAATGGATTGTTCTCTCACCCCTGAACCCTTCGGAATTCCACCCACTTAAAGCAACCTTGCTACTTAAGCAGCAATGGGCTGTTCCTCTCTAGTACCTGGTCCTCTGATGCATCCCTGTGCTTTGCATTCTGCTGTTATGTTGCCTAGATTCTAAAGCTCTTGTCTTAATCTGTTCTACATTTAATCCGAAAAATTAGAGTTAGTCATAGCCTTTGGGGGGAAAAGGGGTTTGGGTGGATGAGCAGGGAAATAGTGTACCTCATGTTGAGATAGGGATAACTTCAGTTAAATGGACTCAGATGGAATCTGATTGTGTTTTAATGTCAGGCAATATGTGTTGAAAGGCCTCTACTGAATTAAGTTGGCAAAGAGCTCTGTTGTGATCATTCAGATTTATAGATCCCTTCTCTGTGTACAGTCAAATGTCTGTAGATCTCTGATAAGTGCTAAGTGTAGTCTATTTCCTTCTGTTTTGGTAACAGCAAAGGGATGCCCTCCCATATATTAGGTCTATGTCCTTTTCTATTATAAATAACTCTTCTTTTTATGCAATACTGTAGATATTGCCTATTTTTTCCATTTCCACTTAATGCTATAAATCAATAGGAAACATCAATTGTAATATTTTTCATAAATCACATTTATCTCTCTCTATTTCCCAAATAGGTAAAAAATGCCTTTGAAGAATTACCTGGATATAGTAATATCCATGTGCTAGAATTCAGGTAAATAGATTTAAGGCATAAAATCCTAACGCTAGTGCTCGAGTAATTAATTTTCTTTCTTCTGCCACTGAAGTCAGCCGAAACCAATCTGTTCCATTCTCTCTGAAGCACCTAGCACTGGGCACTGTCAGACCACAGAATACTGGGCTAGATGGATCTTTGGTGTGACCCACTATGGCTATTCTTATGGTTTCATGATGTGTCTGAGCCTGTTTCTAGACCCTGGATAGTTTCAAGATTCTTTGTTCTAGGGATTTAAATTCAATAAAAATGTCTTCTGCCACTTAAGATATGTATTTGATTATTTTCCAAGGTTCTCAAATGTTCATAATTTGACCCAGCTTAGTGTTAAATGCAGTGAACACAAACACTCTTGGGAAAACTGTGAGAGTATTTAACTTATTATCCAGTCTACTAGGGAAGACTCACTCAGTAGGTTAATGATGAAATCTATAACCTTTCACCTCTAAGTCACAAAGAGAACAAGATGAATAATTTGTAACAAGTTGTTTATTTTATGTATCTTGCTTGTCTTTTGGCACGTAAATAGTCTGTGAAAAGACTGAGTTTCTCCAATTTATTTTTCAAAATTATTCACTAAATCATTTTTGTAAAGATGGTTTTCAAGTGCTTTTTAGCAAAGTACTTGAAATTGAGATGTGAGCTGCTTTTTGGCCACACACACCACATGATATGTTTCTGTTTACTGATTTAGATTTAGTATAACTTTTAGGATTAGGTTTCTGATGTGAATACTCGGGAGGGTGAATATGAAATTTTGCACTATTTTATTTTTCTGAGTATTCCCGCCAGTAAACTCTGTTGCTACAATTGTCAGTGGAAACAAAAATGGCAAGGGAAGAAAGATGCTTTTGTGGTCGGGGCACCAGATTGGGAGTTAGGAAATCTGGGTTCAATTCTCAGCACTGCCACAGACGTGCTCTGATTATCTTGAGCCGTGTCACTCAGCCTCTCGGTGCACCTGTTCTCCACATTTACAAGGATAATACTTCTTTGCTTTACGGAGGGATTGTGATGGTGTTCAGAGGCCATGGCTCTGAGTGCCATAGACAAGCTGATGCAGAATGAAATAATAAGACATTCAAAAGGTTATTTGTGGGCCTATTTTGGCTAAGATTTGCCCATTTGTATAATAACAAATTCAAATTTAGCTCATTGTGCAATTGGCAACTATTAGTTGCTCTTTAGGTGTGTAAAATGAAGTGGTGGTCTCGTAGCATGGTTCATAGTTAACTGGTCACATCACATTCTCTCTAATATTTATCCTTGTTTTCAGTCTCTCCAAGGAAAACCAAACATTGCAGGAGCATGGGAACAGGTCTAGCCTTTCAGTTCTCACTTTTAGCAGAAGTCAGAATTCAAGCACCTGGATGTGGCAGCGTTGAAAAGCCTACATGGTCCCAGCATATGTAATACTAGTTCTGTGTATAAATCTCCATCAATGCCATTGAAATACTTCCTATCAGCTCCAGCAGCATGTAGATTAGGTAGACTGCATATACCCCTAGCACAGGTACAACAAGCAATGTAGATGGTGAGGTATTCCTTAGGCATGTAAAGACATGCCAGAAGCTTAGATTATATACCCCACCTACACAGCTGCTTGTCTTCATGCCCAAACAGTGCTTGTCTATACTGTTCCTCTGCCTCCTTGTAGTTGGAGCCTTTCCCCATCAGAGTGAAAGGCTCTGGCAGTGGGGAGGCAGCAGAGAAAAGCTTGGGTCTGCCAGGGCCTTTCCCTTTTTGGAGACATTCACTGCCGCATGCAGCTAACCACTGCACTGTAGACACAGCCTGTCTTTCACCGTGACATGTAGCTACGTGTATGCTGCATGTCGCTGAGCCTGTGGACAAGGCTGTGACAAGACTGTTGGGTCTGGTGGAATATTCCAGAAAGGATGCTCTACTGTATTCCTGCGTTAAGAAATTCTGATAAGTAAACATGTTTGTGAACTTGCCCTGAGTAACATTATTGTGCCTGTGGGTTTTTTTTTTCTGATTTATGGTAGCACAACTGCACTGACTTACTAGAATGCTTCTTGGTCCCATGGAAGCCCGTAGTGAATTTCTAATTAAATTGAGTGAAACTAGAATTTGACCCCTTGGATAGCAGAATAACATTTTTTTTGTATGTTGTTTGAATTTATTTCCAAATTTGCCACATCTGTTGCATGTCAGAGCTGCCCCAGTAAGGCATAAACTAGAAGAATTGAATGACAACATTCTCATCTAACGTATTTATTTCTTTTTTTAATGTTTAGGTCTCCTGACGACGACAGGTAAAGGCAACATTTGCATATGTATCGTCATATAGTGCAGATTGAGACCTATCTGCTAGTTGCAGGAGACTATTAATTGTTCTGACTGTGTGTGTATGTCTCCAGAATTAAGAGTATATCCAGTAAAATGATATCCCTTGTTGTAGATTAACTTAAAACTACAAGGAGCCGATCTGTTTTATGCTACCAATTGTCTAAATCTAATTTTCTTGTTTAACTGGTAACAGAGTTAAGTAGGAAACTCTGCCTAAACGTGAATCAGTGAGGTGAGCTATGATTTTTGTAGGAATCATGGAACACTAGAACTGGAAGGGACCTTGAGAGATCATAGGGTGTGTCTAGACTATGTGGCTCTGTCGCCAGATGAAGCCGCGATTTAAATAATCGCCACTTCATTTAAATTAAAATGGCTGCTGCACTGTGCCGATCAGCTGTTTGTCAGCTGAGCGCTGTAGTCTGGACGGTCCGCAGTCGACATCAAAGGCATTTGTCGACCTCCCCGGTATGCCTCGTGGGATGGTATAACAGGGAAAATGGTATATCCCTACAAACCCTATTTAGTTGTTTTAAGGCTAGTGTGGTTGAAAACTCCCCATGGAAGTTGTAATCACCCTTCTTTGATGGAAGGGGGGATCAGCATGGACCTGTTTAGGGAAAGGGACGTGTGTATGTGTGTATACTCTATGTATCCTTATAGATAGTATTTTGTGTGTGTGTGTATACAGGCAAGTCCTTTTCTCGCCCCAGAGGACTGGAGCGGCGGGATGCCCAGATGCGCTGCAGTCCCGCCGCCCCCGTCCTCCGGGGCGAGAAAAGCTGCTCCCTGTCTCTGGTCTGAAGGGAGACCGGGAGCAAAGCCGCGGAGCACGCCCGCAGCGGGACAGCCCAGGCGCGCCTGGACTGTCCCGCAGCAGGGAAGCTCCAAGGCCTTGGTCCCCCTCCCCCC